GACCCATTTTTGGCCTTGGACTGTTTTCTGCTCTTTGGTCGGGTTGTTGTCTCTATGACACATTCCCCGTTTCCATTCTCAATTTTATATATGTCCTTAATCATTTTATTTTGTTCAAAAACGAAAACATTATAAAAAGAAATCTGCTGAACAAGAATAAATTGATTGGCGTCAACCTGTATCCATTTTTATTTCATATAAGTTTTCATGGTAGGCTGTTTAATTTTGATATAACACAAAAACAATTAAGAAAAGGACATGGGCTTAGTACTAATTGACAAATATATTGATTGGTGAGTGCTACATTTAATTTTACAATTTTTATGAATATCATATCAACAGTCAACCGTTTTTCGATAAACAGTTTGCATATGATTACCACATTTGAATAATAATGTAAGCAAAGCAACTCTCAGAAATCAAAACCATCAAATCTCATGAAATAAAATTCAAATATAGATTATAATCAATACACAAAAAACCTAAACGTAAAAACCAGCACATTGCATTTAAAAGTTTGGAAGAAGCACTCCACTAATTGCTGTTTGCTACCTTTTTAACTTAAGCAAATTTTGAATTACTTTAAAAATCAATAACAATTTTCCAAATGAGGCCATGATACTCTCCGTCATTAAGTGAAACTCTTTTTCCTATCAATTTATTACTTTATCGTTGATACAAATTTCTTGTTTTGGGTTACAATAATTCATATTTTGTGAAGACCCACACTGAATCTACCAGAAAATATACTGAAGATGATATTATCAAAATGCTGGACTTTTTGATCGACAATAAATTTGTTGAGTTTGGAAGATTTATATTTCAACAGACAGTCGGTATTCCAATGGGTACTAATTGTGCACCCCCTACTGGCCGATTTGTTTTTGTACTCGGTTGAAGCAGAATTCATTCAGAACCTTCTAAAATACAAAAAGAAAAAGCACCTTGCAAAATTCTTTAATTTTACTTTCCGATATATTGATGATGTTCTATCACTGAATAACCCATATTTCAACCAATACTTACATCTTATATATCCCAGTGAACTTTAAATTAAGGATACTACTGATACTAGAAGGACTGCTTCATACCTTGATCTTTTCCTCCATATTGACACAGATGGACGACTTCATACGAAAATCTATGATAAACGGGACGATTTCAACTTCCCAATTCTTAATTTCCCATCTCTCAGCAGTAACATACCCTCTGCCCCATGTATGGTGTTTACATATCTCAGTTGATACGTTATGCTCGTGCATGTTCACACTATACGGACTTCATATACAGGAGTGTGCTCCTAACGCAGAAACTGCTCCAACAAAGTTATGAGGAGGACATATTAAAAATGACACTCCGTAAATTTTACGGACACCATCACGAATTGGTTGATCCATACGATGTGTCTTTGTCCAAACTAACTAAGGACATTTTTACCACGTGTTAGATTGTGGTTTGACATTACGTCGTCTGATCTTTTAATCACCGAACGTGACTTATTCCCGATTGTGACTTTTTTGCTGAGTGTGAATTCGCATTGCTATAAGACGTGTCACGGTACTTTTCTATCCAAAATTCATGTATTAAGTTTTGATGTTATATTTGTTATTCTCATCGGATTTTGTCAAATGTCTTATCGTTTGTAGTTGTAAATCTTATTTTTTTCTGTTGTATTCATGTGTTATGGTAAAGATAATTAATCACCCAGTTTATTTATTAGATTTTAGTTTGGGTCAACTAAATTTATACGATACATTTGGTTTACAGTTTGATTTAGAAGAAACACCCACATAGCTAGATAATACAATTAATTATCTAATTACTACCACAATTTTATATTAATTAGTATTGTAATTTTCATTGTTATCAATAAATGTTATATGAGTATTACAAACCCAATCTTGAATTCTATCCTAATTCTATCCTATTTTGGGGAAATTTTTAGAAATTCAAATGTGACGTCACTTTGTGCGTTGATCTCTTTGGCTAACTCGGCTGTGAATTTTTATGTGCTGGTTTATGTTGTTTTATGTATCTGTTTTTATTCTGTAGTTAGTCACCACTTCGGTGTTAACATGTATATCTGTTATATAGTCATTTTTATAAATTTACTGTTTGCAAAAGTATGAATTATTCTAAATAATAAGGATGTTCTAATCCGAGACAGAAAACCTTAGCCGTATTAGACACAACTTTTTGGAACTTTTGGTCCTCAATGGTCTTCAACTTTGTACTTGTTTTGGCTTTCGAACTTTTTTGATCTGAGCGTTACTGGTTAGTCTTGTGTGGACGAAACGCGCGTCTGGCGTTTTAAATTTTAAACCTGGTACATTTTGTTAGCTATTATTCGTATGTTTCTCTGTCCTATATGTTCTCCCTTTTATTTGTATTGTAGTCCTGTCAAGTAATGTTGTCATTTTAATGTTATATTTAACATTGCCAGAAAAGCGGGAGGTTTGGCTAGCCACAAAACCAGGTTCAACCCACCATTTTTTTCTTAAAATGTCCTGTACCAAGTCAGGAAAATGGTCATTGATATATTATAGTTCGTTTTTGTGTGTGTTACATTTTAATGTTGTGTTTCTGTTGTGTCGTAGTTCTCCTCTTATATTTGATGTGTTTCCCTCAGTTTTAGTTTGTAACCCGGATTTGTTTTTTTCTCAATCGATTTATGAATTTCGAACAGCGGTATACTACTGTTGCCTTTATTTAAGATAGCTAATAAGTTACTATTTTGTGAATTACTAACGTTTGCTAATTATAGTACTTTAATACCATATTTTACCCGTCAAAATTGGTACAACTATTAGTGGAGTACTCAAACCAGGGATCAATAAGATAAATTTTCTTTTCAACAGAGAAACAACTATATACACCAAAGACTTTCTACTTCTGATTTAAAAAGGAAATTCATAAAATCAAACACGCGTAAATATGGTCATGCTAGACGAAATATCTTTAAACGTTATCAGGACACGAGTATGCTTTTGAACATAACATAAGATAATGGAGTCTATCTTTTATCGCAGAGATACACATTAAACATATTGTACGTTCACTAAACTCGGCAAATATTTTCCTGTATACCTTTATATTACACAAGGTACTTAAATCGCATTTTTGAAAAATGACAATTGGTCGCGAATATCCGTTTTATTTTGATTCCTCAGTTGTCTATCCCACTAAAACTATTATGCTGTAAATCTAAATTGACTTATCTACACAATGGTGTATGACACGCCTAACCTTGTTGTCGGAATCTTTCGTAGTAGGCCTCCCAAGTATGTCAATCGTAATTATTTCGTCTTCTCACAGCCCTTTGGAAATATAAGGTTCGCAGTAAATGGTTAATTATAAAAAGTATTTCCCAAAAACCTGTTAGTTTTTATCTGAATAGAACTTATCATCCAATTAGTAAATTTGTAAAAGATTCCGTGAAAAAAATCTTATAAGTGTTATTTTAGGTATGTCTAATGAGTTACGAGTTTCTATTTTGAGAGGGGCCACGGTGGCCGAGTGGTCTAAGTAGTTACTACTATAATCACTTGCAAGTTAACACTTGACTCCAATCTTAATTGACTAGGATTGTCAGTTTTCCTATCGAAGGTCGGTGGTTTTCTCCGGGCACTCCGGCTTCCTCCTTCAAATAAAAACAGGCCGCCACGAAATAGCCCAAAAGCGGTGCTTAAAAGTGGCGTTAAAACACCAAAAATCAAATCAAATCTATTTTTAGACTCTAATTTTCCCATTCCATCAATTTCAGTCAAACTCTCTCTGGGCTTTACATATAAAATTGAGATAACTCCAAAAACATATATTTTTAGCAATAAGATTTGACCATTCGGAAACCGAGATATGTATAAGAGAGGGGAAAGATACCAAAGGGACCATTATAATTAACCATTTACTGCGAACCGTATATTTCCAAAGGGCTGTGGGAAGACGAAATAATTACGATTGACATACCAGGGAAGCCTGCTACGAATGATTCCGATAACAAAGGTAGACGTGTCATACACATTGTGTAGATAAATCAATCTAGATTTACGGCATAATAAGTTTTAGTGGGGTAGACAACAGATGAATCGAAATACGAAAGTTCGCGACCAATTGTCATTTTTCAAAAATGCGAGTTAAGTACCTTAATTGTGTTATATTAAGGTATATAGGGGAAAAAAATTTCAGAGACAAGTGCCTGTGAATTCAACAATTAATGTATCTTCAGTAAGCCTTGAGGTCAACATAATTTTAAAACCCAAACCTAGTAGAAACATTGAAGAGTTTGTAAATAAAGGCAACAATAGTATACCGCTGTTCAATAGTCATAATTCGATTAAGCAAAAACAAATCCGGGTAACAAACTAAAACCGAGGGAAACACATCAACTATAAGAGGAAAACAACGGAACATCAGAAACACTAAACTACAACAAAATCAAACGCCAACATACATAGAAACGGATTGTAGATAACAACTGCCATATTCCTGACTTGGTACAGGACATTTTAAGAACAATGGTGCGTTGAACCGTGTTTAATGGCTAGCCAAACCTCCTGTTTATATGGCAATGTTAAAAATACTGCTAAAATGACAACACTACGTGACAGGAATACAGTTCAAACAAACGCAAGAAAACTCAGCACAGAAAAATACATAAATAAATAATATAACAATACATAACAACATGTAAACCGCAGAATAACAACGGACACCTCCCAAGAATTTACGACAGCACACCAGGACACCAAAAACGAAAAGGATCCAAATATTACCCAATCCAGACAATGATTCAGGTATATGCAACAGTGAAATTCTTTAATTGGTTTCAGATAATCTTTGAAAGTTTTACAGCAGCAAACTTCAGTTAAACAATATCCGTATTTTCATGCCAGTATCGAAATACTTCGCTTCTATGCTGGTGATACCCTCGGGGACTTACAATCAACTAGCAGAGGTATCGACCTTGTGGTAGTAATCATGTATCAATTTTACTAATCCGATGCGTTTTAAGATGCTTTTTATTTTAAAAAATCAAGATGTATCATATAATTCATTTTATGACAGATATGATAACCAAAAATATAACTTAATGATTTCTTACCTGACAAGCTCAAATTATGACCTTAGATTTATAAATATTAAGAGAATAATCGAACTATCTTAAATTCATATAACACATTTTGTGAATCTTTGCAAACTGATAACATAAAATCATATGCAAATAAATTAGTCAATATATTTAATATCACACAATAAATAGATGATCAAATCGCTAATTCATGCCTTCATTGCATCTATGTTATTCACCAAATACATACGTTCAAAACCTTTTTGTCGTTTTTTTTTCAAATTTAATGACAGTCATTTTATGTCTGGCTTAAGCTTAATAAAGGCAACAGTAGTATACCTTTCATTTTATTACTGGTTCCTGGAAGTCAGGAAGTAAAAAAAAAGTACTTCTGATTTGAGAAACATGCAATAAAGGCCCTTAATTTCATAAAGATTCTGTATTATTTCTTAGCTTTCATTTCATACCAAATTAACCAAATAGCTTACATATTTTGAACGTTACAGCTATGCGTAGGAACTACTTTGTGCGAAATATGTCTTACTTTCTTATATGTTCTTCCTTACTGGGCCCAATGATAAATGGTGGCAATAAAGTATATGCCCGCCATGATGGCTCTCTATGTCGTTTATTATACCACCTGCGGTTTGATCGATACATTAAGTATTACTAACAATCAATCACCATAAAAAAAAAACTGCTGATTGCATTTTGTGATAACATTAAATAGCTGACAGGTAATGTGTCCAAGATAATTTTTGTGTTAATGATTTGAAAGAATTTGTGCATTTCATTACTGTGATATTTTCAAAAATAAAAATTGTTTAAATTAAATTAAAAAATAAGTATATAAAATTTAGTTGAACAAGTTCAAAATAGCTAAATATGTAAATATTAAACAAATTGTAGCGTCCTGAGCTCAATTCCAATAACAGTTTATGTATGAAACTGTAGTTTTAATTTGACTGTGAGAAGTTGAGTTTATATATGTTTTTGGGAATAAAAACTCGTAAAAAGGAGACAGTAAATAAACCTCTTTTCTATCTATGTGTTCGCAGTTTGATAATTCATTGTGTTATAACTGAAAATCAAAGATAAGAGTATATGTGCACCTTGTTTCCACTGTCAGTCAACCAAATATTTCCCATAGAATCTCTTGTAATGTAAATTGGGGACGATATTCCTTGTATTGACACATCATGTAAAAATTCACCGTATGAATTTAACACGCAAATTTTGTTCAAATTAGTATCAACTATGAATATATTACCATAATGATCTCCACAACTGCCCCCGAAACTTGAACCTTTGTTCTCATGAACATTGCATACCCTAAAGTTTCTGTCAAATGTTATAACTTTTTCCCTACATGGTATTATGATGTGCTTCGATACGGTTTCAGTTATACTTAAAGGCTTTTCCGTTATAAGCACGGCAATTGTTTCCTCGACAGGAATGATTTTTAATGTTGTTTCGTTTATGTTAACTGGCCAGTCTCCATCAATCGTCACATCATAAAAACATTTACCTTGAACAGAGTACGCGATAATGCGGTTATCATCAAGTACAGAACAAGTAGCATTTGCGAACTCGGGCATGTGTACTATCTCTTCAGTTGTGCTTGCAGTTTCAACGGTTATTTTTTTTATATGCCCACCTGACTTTATCCAAAGTTCGTTTTGTGTCGCTCGTAATATTTGCTCAGCATCATTTTTTGGAACTGTATATCTTAGATCGACACCATTAGCGGAATAAAGCTTTATACATTCTTCGTAGTTTTGCAGTATCCATGTCTTATCTTCACAGGCACCGTAAAAATTTTGGAAGTAGTTGATATTAAATGAGTGCATTTTCTTGAACTCATTTACGGCACAAATAATTGGTAGCGAATAAATGTGAGACTCCGATGCACCTATCATGTTAGGTTTTTCTCCTCTCATAACCAAGCCAAAACAGTTTTCAATATATTTGTGTTCGAGTTGATTCCCGAAGCAAAACTGTGGTGAAAATACCATTAACTGATTGTCTTTCGTGACAGCATTGCATAATGTCTGGTAAAGAAATGTGTAATCATTAAGCAATTTTCCATCTGAACTGCATTTTACAATGTCTTTAGTGCTTCTTAACAAGCAAAGTAAAGACAGTTTCTTTGTTTCAAGTTCATCTTGAAAATTATTAATCGATTTTATATCTTCCTTCTGCATTTCATCAATTTTTTTCAAATTTACATCTGCTAAAAGATCAACTATTTTGCACAGAGTTTCTTTTGATCTGTTTGCGTGTGTTCTTATTTCGTCTTTCCATTGTTTACATAGTTTATAATGATTTTTTTCTGCGAATTTCGATATTTCTCTTTCTTGATCTAGTCCAGCGATCTTCGATTTTATCGCGCCAATAGCTGATCGCAAAAGGTCTCTCCTTCTCTGGGCTTGAAACATTATTGGCTCACTTTTGTGAAGTTTGTGATTCTGTGTAGCACATTCCTGGCAAATTGCTTGATTGCAAGGTTCGCAGTAGAGAGAAAATTGCTCATTGTGAGCTTCACACGAGAAATCGTCAAGATTTTTTGCCTCTGGTGATTTAATTTCAGTATGTTCACTTTCTATTTTTTCTGTTTTGTTTGTCTTAAATAATTTGTGCTTAAGATGATATGCAGAACACTCAAAACACATCTTACTTTTGCAATCGATACAATTAGAAACAGCGATCTTGTCATTGTCACACATTTGACATTGTACTGTTACATTGTCTTGTGAACCTGCCATTTGAACGTACGGATAAAGACTTAATCCATCAACACCCTTGTGTGGAAGTTCTTGTACCGCTCTACATAACGGACAAATCAATGTTTGCTTACCTTCAGTCAGTTTTGAAACACACGGAGTACAAAATATATGAAAGCAACGCAAAAGAATAGGCTTAGCAAAGTCCGAAAGACAGATTCCACATTTAACAATATCCATTTCATGACCACTGTTTGAACATTCGGCCATCTTGTTGTCCTTGAAATGATTTACACTACAAATATACACACGCCGTTTGTCGAGGGTTGTCCTTTAAATGATTAAAATTGTACATTAAACTTTCCTGACGTTGGCCACACACGTTTATCGTGTGTTACATATTATGTATATATTTGATCTTACAAATAACTCACAGTTAGAATTGCTTTTCATAATCATGAAAGTGGTACTCATTGCAGAAATGTCGCGGCGTTGCAAGAGCTGCTGCAATTCACATTTTGTTAGTACCATACTTTTTAACATATTTTTGTATTTTGAATAAATAACCTTCTACTATACATTTATATATTTTATTGCCTTCATATTATTTAGAAATATCGAATATATATGGTTGTTAATGCGAAATTTAAAAGTTAAATAAGATATTAAAAACAAACATTTCATGGCTAGAATTATTGACAATTACAGAGATAAAAGGATGACAAATAAAGGATTCAAAGATATGAATTATTTAAATTTAGAATGTGTAGTTTAAAAGTCCATGAAGCACCAACCAAACGATACAAATAACCAGAAGACACCTAGAGGCAAATATACAGTCTTCAATAAGAAACTGGTATAAATGCGATATGTCAAGCTCGTCCGAGTCTTGTGGATATATAGCTGATACTATCAATGATATGCCATCTACACCAACTTTTCCGTTCGAAGTCTTCGTCAGACATTTATGGTTGATATTAGTTAACTCTGTGCTCGGTTGCACTGTTTTCTTGAATACGTTGTTTTGAAATATACCACAAATATGCAATAACTTTATTTGAACTTTGATATTGAATAAAACAGAAAAATGATTTTTTTTTTCTTTTTCGTAGGTATTTCTTAGCAATTTTACATATGTTATTACGTTTACTAACGACTGCAAGTAATGGAACTTTCATATAGACTTTGCCGTATGAACTTTCTTAGATTTCTTTAAGAAAAAAGTCGAATTCGTGGCAAATGCGATAGGCTGAACCATTTACACGTTTAAACGAAAACTTGCAAAACCGTTTTTGCGGCATGCCATACCTCACACTAGAAGTGTCATTGATATCTATAGTTCTGTTTAATTGACAGAAAAGAGATTGGCAGGACAAAGAGCCACACATCGATTTATGTTTGGTATTGTCAATTGTAAAGACAGTACAACACAAGTTCCAAAAATTCCATTTAACACCTTCATGTATAGTTTGCGAAAGTGTAACTATTCTATCGACACCTGATGCCTTACATTTAACCTTTTTATGGAATATGCAAGACGTGTTTTAATAACTTCCTGGCTGCATTGCTTTCTATGGGGAAATCGTGATGATAGCATTTCACAAAATCATCATAGCAGGTAAAAGTCAAAGTCAAATGAGTTTGACTGTCCCTCTGGTATCTTTCGTCCCTCTTTTAAAAGCTCTTGCATATTGTATCAGCTGAGAAACATGTGTTTATTATTCAGGAGAAGGTGGTTCACCCCCAGTTTTTGGTGGGGTGCGTGTTGCTTACTCTTTAGTTTTCTTTGTTGTGTCATCTGTACTATTATTTGTCTGTTTGTCTTTTTATTTTTGGCCATGGCGTTGTCAGTTTGTTTTCGATCTATGAGTTTGAATGTCCCTCTGGTATCTTTCGTCCCTCTTTTATTGCTTATAAGTTGAGGACAATTTGCAATGTTATTGTTTCGTTTGTCTTAATTATTTTATAAAGACAAATTACAGGTAATGTAACTCTCTGAAATAAAACGAAGGAAATGATAAATGTTGTTTTCTTAATTTCTAATCTTGAGTATATATCAACGGAATCTAATAGAGTGAATGGTATCAAAAATCGGGTTTTCTACACCTTGATACCATACTATGCAGCCAAGAGCCACAATGTGAACCTTTTTGATGACTGAGAATAACAAACTACCTAAAGAGCTGCGCATTGTGTCCATATTTATACGCAGAAAACCCAATAATTTGTTTATTGTGCTATGTCTAGTCTTTTAAAACATTTATATGCTGGACAAAAATAAGCTTGATAACGTCTCATCGCTCACTGTGACGTAGCAGCTAACTACTGCTCAGACATTGTGACGTCAACGATAAATTGTGCTCATGTCTCAAACCCGTGATACGAGAATTACGGAGCGAATGAACAGGGTGATACAGACAACGGGAAATATCACAGGTTGACAAGGCTATAATCGTAACAAGACAAATTGTAGAGGATTTTGAAAGTTACATATCAATTTACTAGAAAATGACTTTACAGTTATTGATTATTGAAGGATCAGAACAGCTCTAATCTCTTATACCATTTATTCTTGTTTTATTTAGATTTCTTTTGTATAATGGATAAGAATTTTTATTTCATATTATGTAACAAGATAGATTAAACATATTTTTTACCTGTTTAGGTCTGCACTAGCAGAAAAAAGCATTGGGAAATATTCCTCCTTTTCAAATGTTTGCAGAAACCAGGTCTTGTTTTTACAAATTCCAGATAAACTTTGAATTGAAACGAAACAGACACTAAAAGAGCGAACTCTTTTATATTCAGTTTCTTTACATATAGATGGAAGTGAATATATGTGAAACTTCGATACAACCACAGTACAAGATCGTATGAATCTCTACTCGACCAAAACATTCTTCAACATATTTGTATTCAATTGGATAACCATAAACGTAATAGCGGGGCTAACACTACTAACTTGTTAACCTGTGTAGCTGCTTGTTTTAATGTCTGGTAAAGGAATGTATAATCATTGCATAGTTTCTCATCCCTGAAAAAGTTTACTATAGTATCGGTGCTTCTTCTTATTAAGCATTGCAAAGACAACGTCCTTGTCTCTAGTTAATCTTTGTATTTATGTATTGCTTTTATGTCTTGTTTTTGTATTTTATCAATTGTGTTTGCAAATTTAAACTGCTAAAACATCTATTTATTTGCAGAAAATTATTTTTATCTTTTTACATGCGTTCTTATTTCCTCTGTCCTTCCTTACACAATTGATAGTAAATATTTTCTGCCGATTCCGACTTTTGTTTTTCAAGGTTTATTGTACTGATCTTTGATGTCATCGCATTAAAGGCCAATCGAAATAGATTCACCTTTTCTGGTCTTGAAACACAATCAGTTTTGTTGTGTGAAATCTGTGACGTTGTGCAATACATTTTTACAAATTGTTTTATACCAGTTTTAACAAAAGTGTGATTTTACACTTTTGTCTCGTGTGCTTTAAATTCAGTGCATTCATTTTATATATTTCTTCTTGTTTTGTGATCTATATGGTATGCAGAACATTCAAAATACATCTCGCAGTTGCAGTAATTGTTAGCTTTACATATTCAAATGAAATTCATCTTCCTACTTGATGTGGTTCATAAGTGTTTCTCGATTCTCGTTTTTTATATAGATTAGACCATTGGTTTTCCTGTTTGAATGGTTTTACACTAGTCATTTTTGGGGCCTTTTATAGCTTACTGTTCGGTGTAAGCCAAGGCTCCGTGTTGAAGGCCTTACTTTGACCTATAATGGTTTACTTTTACAAATTGTGACTTGGATGGAGAGTTGTCTCATTGGCACTCATACCACATCTTCCTATATCTATTAAGACTTGTATGGTTAGTGTCACACTCTCTGCATGGTGATTAACGCCTGTAACATCTCTGGAAGTATTTTTGTGGCTAAAGTTCTGTCCTAACCAGCCTAACCTTAGTTTTCAGCCAACGTTTTAATCTGTGTCAAGTCAATGAATTCCCGATGAGACAAAAAGGTTCGCACAACTGTGATCAGTAAATTTTATGGACAATGAAAATAAGACTTTTTTAATTTGGTGCATACAAATAGCTTTATCTTCATCGAAAAACGCTCAACACAATATTAAGCAAGAGCAATATGTTAAATATACAATATCTTAATTTTTCTAACTACCTTTCCAAAATTTATCGATACGTTGGAGGCACGAGAACTAATTTGTTGGTCAACAAATTTATAAATATAAGACGAGGTTTCGATAAGGTAACACCAGCATACTTCCATTCATTGTCATCATTGTATTTATATTGAAAATTAAAGATGAGAGTATTTAGTTAATAAGTTTGAGAATGTTTTCATCAACAGGTATGGTTTTTGATGTTGATTCATTTAAAGTGACTGGCCAGTCTTCATTAATTTTTAACTCATAAAACATTTGCCTTTAACAGAATACGTAACAACGCGGTTGTCATCTAGCACAGTGCAAGTTCCAAACTCCAACTCCATTGGACATTTGGACTAATCAATTCTGGTTATAGTATCTACGTGTATTTTCTTGATAAGTGCCCCCAGACTACCAAAAACTCATTTCGGGTAGCTTGCAATATATGTGCGACTATATTTTCATTAAGAACTTTAAATTCATACTCCAGGTCAGCATTAGTTGAATAAAGTTTTAAATAAAGTTCATCATCTTCAACGAAAAGTAAGAAGAATATGTAACCAGTAACCAGGTCTTGTTTTCACAGATACCATAAACTTCTGATGTAACATTCGAATGTCTTTTATCGAGACTAAAAGAATGAATCCTTTTTAATTCAATGACTTGTTTTTGCATTTCATCCATTTTGTGCAAATTTAAATCTTCGAAAACATCTAAAATTTTGCACAAAATTTTTCGACCTTTCAGCATGTGCTCTTATTTCGTCTTTCCCTTGCCTACACAATTGATAGTAAATATTTTCTGCAGATTCTGAGTGTTGTCTTTCCCGGTTTATTGCAATGACCTTTGATTTCATCGCATTCAAATCCAATCGCAAATAATCTCTTCTTTTGTGTCCTTGAATTAACTAAACTTTAAAAATCAAGACATTCACATGATTTTTATTACGATTTGAATACCTTGAGCTCAGTGGTGGATTTCTTCTTTGCGATAGGATTTCGGCAATGTTTACAATATTGACTGGACAGGACTTGACACATATGGACTGACCTGAACTGTTGGATCTGACTGGAAAGAGATTTAATTATTTATTTCTTTGTAAT